CCTGTTGTGAAATAGAGAAAACGAACTGCAGCTTCTATCTGCTGCTCCCAACTGAAGTTTGACAAGAGCAGATAAAACCTTTTAGGGTCTCTTTGTAGTTGTAACTGACAACAAAAAGTGATGAGTTAGCTGTTTCCTTTGCGACCCTCTTAAGCAGGTGAAGAAGACAACCGCTGCCGTGAGTGGAACAAACTGATGCTGCCTCAGCGCCTGAATGTGAACTCCTTCTCATGCAGAGCCCTGGTCAAAACCCAGAAATAGCTCTTGTTTATGAGCACAACTGCCTCCCAACCTGGATTCCCAGCGCCAGGTGAAGAATTCATGATCCAAACACCTTGGGGTGCACCAATCTTCCCATTTCTTTCTAGTTACATCTGTTAGAAAAACAGAGAACCAGGGTCCTAGTATCAGAGCTGAGATCAGAGGTTATGCTTCAAACCCACTGATGATTTCTTATGCCAATAATAGAACAGCTGCAGCTCTGCTCTCGCTTTTTTCTTTGGGATCGACTACAATGTGATCCTGCTGCTGCATAGCATCCTTCCTTTCACCTTTCACACCTTGTTTCCTGAGGGCACTAATTCAAGTATTTTCCTGCTTGAAGCTCATATATTCACTGAGTGAGAAATCATCTCACTACTCACCTCTTTCCTCCATGAAGGCTGGTCCTTGCAGGAGGCTACTCTTGACTCTTATGCTAGTGTAGGACATACACAGTCTCTTTCTCAGCTCCTCATTCCATGACACCTTCAGATCACAGCCCTCATGCAAATTATGGATTCCTCCATGAGGAGCTGGGAGCCACCAATTTTCTTTTTGTTTGACTGGTGGAGGTGGGTTTGGCCCTTGGAAAATGACAGCGCTGGCAGCTGAATAACGAGATCCTGCCTTAGGTCTGCACTTTGGCCTAGTGATGGTGGAAAAACTAACTTAAATCTGAGCTGGTTTTAATCCCCATTGTATATTTTATTTTTTATTTTATTTTATAAAATGCAAAGAACACAATGGGTTAGAAATATTTTGTGACTTGGTGTTTCTTGCAGCACACACTTTTCTCAGAAATAAAAATCCTGAATTAGTAAATAATTATTAAAAAGCCACAAACCTCCATTTCCATGTTTTACAAAGAAGTATGTTGATATTTTTCTTTAAAAGGCAGTTTTGATTCGCAATTTGTGTGTGTGTGGTTTCAAAAAATAACGTCTAAAAGCCTGAGACAAAATATGCACCTGTATTAAATTTGAATGAAATCAATATTTTTTGAATTAATCTTTGAACTCTGTTGACTCACCAAAAATTCTGAATGTTTTCATTCTGAGTTGATCTGAGTTGAATTTTTATCAAACTCTGCATTTTAAAAATTCAAGTGAACCAATAAATTAGTTATTTGCACGGTCCTGGGATAATATTAAGGAGTGAGTTTTGTCTCTGTCTCATCTGGAGTTGCTGGCAAAGCAGTTAAGTTGAACTTCTCTTTCATTCTAATGTTTATTTGTTTCATTCATTTCATATGAAAACTGCTTTGATTGAACAAACTGGTCACCTGGGTCACTGTCTGTTCCTTGACTAGAATAGAACATACCTCTTAGGGATGATCAACCCTGAGGTCTGGTTTTAGAAACATATATGTTAAGTGAGTTCTTCTGTGTCTAATATCATTGCTGGGTTTAGACCAATGACTTTCTCTGTGGGGTAATATCTCGGTGAGAGCACTGTTTTGGCAAACTCTCTTCTCAGATTTGGGCCTTGCCTCCTGGTGCAAGCATTACTACTAATACATTCACTGCTAAGAATTTCTTGCATTTTCTTGGTGAATGCTCCTTAGTATTTGCTTGAATCTGTGTGTTTTCTTCTCTCTCAGTAAACCACTTTCACAGGTGTTGATAGGGAGAGATCACAGGGAGCGACAAACATTGCTGAGATGCTTTCCTTTCAAGCAATAACTGAAAAAGCACCATCTCTTTGGAAAACTTTTGTTTAATCTTGGTCACTTTTAATTCTGTTCTTTTTGTGTTGCTTTCCTGGTGATAAAAATAGAGCAAATATCCCTTTAGAGGCAAACGAGCAAACCAACTAACCAACCAACCAGAACTTACTCTAAAAGCACAGGTTCTACAGAAACCCCAGCAGCCAAACCACCCTCTGGTATAGAGGAAACCAGCCAGGTCTTTGCAAAATAAAGGTGGAACATGTTCTTCACTCCTGCTTTGCTCACATACCTAGACCAAAAGTCAACGTGAAAACCTGGCTTTGCACTCACCTACAGGTCAACAAGGGCAAACAAATTAAGTCCCTAACGCATGTCAAAGCACTGCTGTGGGTGTGGGTGTGTCACTGGAGGACACTGATTTGAACCGTGCTTCAGTTACCCAATTGTCTTCTTGGGCAATGTGCTCCACTGCAATGGGGTGAGAAGCCTTGCTCAAGGTTCTGCCTGCTATGAGACATTGTCCTTGCCCTAGAGAGCTCTCAGCTGAAGGGACAAAGACAGCAAGAGGAGAAAATAATGAAGAAACTATTGCCAAGGGTAATAAAACAGGGCACTGCTGGAAAAAACACATTTCTCTCTCCTTCTACAGTGCCCATGGTGGTGCTGATGGAGACATGTCTAGTCCTGGGGGTTCTAAGCACATTTCTGTATTTGTTATTTTAGCATAGTTACGAAGTTTTAGATCAGGCACTGCGTAACTGCTGGTTCTAAGCCTAAGGTAAAACACTTCTTGGTGTCCTCAGGACTTCAAACTTGCGTTAGGTGAAACATGTTAAAGCACAGCTAAGCTGCTTCAGCTCACTAGTCAGGGCAAAAGTAGAGGGGAGAGAGAGGTCCTTCGTTTAGCCCCGGGGCAAACTCATGGTGCGGTGGGGTTCAGGGATGAAGGACTGACCTCAGCAAATTCACCTCAGTCAAAACGAAATGCTTTCTCTTTATTATAGTTTTACCTCAGGATAACTCAGGCACCTCAGTTATTCTGAGGTTAAGAAAGAAACCCCAAACCCAGCTTTTTCAAGCAGCAAAGACAAGCCCTAACTGTAGACTTAGCTGAAGGGCTCACCTTCACTTGGGATGCTTGGTAGATCAGCACTGCCAATTAGTTAAATGCATTACAGTAATAATTGTGGGTGTTCCTTCAAAGCCCACCCATCTTTTTCTCTTTTTTATCTTTGTTTTAAATGAGCAAGGATTTAGCCAACGTATTGAGGGAGAAGGGAAGGTAGTAGCTCCCGAAAGAAGCTGCCAATAATTAGGAGCACATATTCTAAAGTTACTCATGCATGCTGGTCTCTGAACTGTCTCTATAACAGGAGCGATAAGGTTTCATTGGAAACAACAGTTCTACAGCCTTCAGGTGCAGCATTTGGACTTTTTTATTTGTTTTCTCCAACACAAAAAGCCACTGCTCTGCATCTCCCCTCACCTTGTACTAAACTGAACCAAACCTAAGCAAAAAGATGGGGCTGGCAAAGCTCCAGCTGAGTGCAGAGGGTATGCTCAAAAGCAGGAAGCTGTGGCAAAGCTGAGCCGCTGAAAAGCTGCTGGAGCTAATATACTGTGGTCATGGGGACGGGCAGCAGCATCTGTGTAGTGATGGGAAGACTCAAAAGTACCTTCAAAACAGGCTTGTAAAATACTGCTGATTTTTGCACTTTGAGTGGGCTTTTGTGCTTGAAGCATTTAGAACACCTTTTGCGTCGAGCTGGAGCGCATAGTTTATCCCTATGTGCGACGTGTGCCTTTCAGAAGCCTCATTTGCTGCCTGAGCACTGAAACGCAGAGGTAGGCTTTGAAGGTGAAAGGGATGCGTAGGATTGGGTTCATCTGGCAGCATTTGTGACGGCATCTGAAGTTAAAGCAGGTTGTAAACACTCGCTGGTGAATAGCTGCCTTCCCCCTGTTCTTTCCGCGGCAGTGTGAAAAGCCAGGTGTGCACTTATGGATTGACTAATTCTTTTTTATGGGGTGGAAAAAAAAAAGGTACTGGCTGTGAAGCCAATAAAAAACACCAGGTGGTCACGATATCATGGAGGCCTATTGTTCTAGGAGATTGTTTCATTTATTCATATGGACTGCGATGATGATAACAGGATACATAATATTGCCATGTGAGATAGGGAGTGAGGAGATGGGTGGGAGAGGCAAGATGTCCTTTTCCTTCTCTGGCTGCCCTTAGGAGGGAGGAAGTAGTGGCTATGTTTCAGATCTGAAGAGCCAACGCAAGCTGAGATAAAGGGAGGACTTCCACCAGTACTTCAGTAGCTGTTACCTTAAGATGCCACAGGTCATTAGAGAGCTGCAGCCAACACACATAGAGGAAGGGACAAGCTCCAGTCCCCAGTCTTGAGCTCTCTGCTCTTCTAGATACCTGTAGGTGCCTGCCCTTGTAGCTGTATTGGTTTTGGGTAGGGTCTCAGAGACTGTTTCATGTGTTTCTTGATGCCTGGACTGGGCATAAGGAACCACTTGTGCCTGATGGAGGCACAGATATAATTTCTGTGGTCCTTACTCTACTGAGGGCCAGAAAATACATACGCCTCCAAGACGCCACTGACTTGTGGAGCCTGGACAAACCAACCAGGAATTACCGATAACCTGCATGCTGGTTTTACGTGGTTTTTGGAGCTTTTCAGCTTTTCAGCCCTGCTCTCAGGTGGAAGAAACTGTGAGAATGTGTCAAGTGGGTTAGTGGAGCTGTGTCAAAACCCACTCGCAGATCATGCTCACTGCTTGCCTATATCTGGTCTATAAACCTAAGGCCTAACCTGCCTAACTGTAAGTGCATAAAAGGATTTGGTTGAAGGACAGAGGTAGGTGCTCAGGCAAGTTGAGTGGGATGGGTCTGGACCTCCTAGGCAACCTCAGGGCTCTGTGAAAGATGATGCTTTGAGTCTTCTTTGCATCCTAGTGTGGACCCAGTTAGGATGAAAGAGATGTAAATAGAGATGGGTGTCACCACCAGCTTCAAGCTGGAGCTTTTCTGGGTGGCTAGGTCCTTTGTGCAATCTGCAGCCAGTGAGGTGACCAAGGAGCATTTACTGATGAAGCTGGTATCATCAAGCCTGCCCTTACATCCCAATACAGAAGCAGAGCAGAGTACATAATGCATTCTCTGGTCCAAAATATCTTCCATGCTGTATCTCTGCTGTGGGATCACATTCAGGGATCAAATACTCTGCTGTGGGATCACATACCCAGCTGTACTCTCAGATGGTGAGTAGAAGAGACAAGGAAATGAAGAGCAAAAGCCTTTCTTTTTCCTAGAGAGTATGCTCTGTACCTAGTGTAGTGGAACCAGTTAAAGAAAATAATTTATGTTGGCCTGAGCTGTGGTTTGGAAAGAGAAAAGGAGAAAAGAAACTAAACAAAAACACTGGCCCACAAAGAAGAGAAAACAGGAAAGGAAAAGAACAAAACATCCTGTACCCAGCAGCCAGTCAGTCGAGGAGGGAGGGTCCATGTTATCTGCATTCCTCTGCTGAAGTGGGCACAGGCAGCCTTCATCAGGTCTGTGCTGCTCAAACCTTTCCTTTCCTTTCTTTAGCCTTTCAGGTCATCCGACCGTGTGATGTCTCTTGTTTATCCCAGGGCTGGATCAGCAGGACCAAAGGTGGTTTCAGACATTTCCTCCTCTCTCAATGCCACTTCATGATGAGTGAGAGCATCGGCAGACTGTACCCTTCCCAGCTCCTCTCCTGGGATGGGTATCAGAGATCCCCACTGAGCACTGACAGATGCAAGCTCACCTTTTCCTGCTCCAAGGTGAGCGACAAGCACCAAGCATGATACTGTGTCATGCAGTCAGCACTGTACTGTGGTTGAGCTAACAATGGCCTGAACTGGACCTGGTTCTGAGCTTAGGCTGAGAAACTCGAGGCTCTCTGCATTTGACTGTGTGAAAATACCTCTTGTTCTTCATCACAACAGCTAACAAAGAATGAAACCAGCGTGGAGACCTTGTTGTTGCTTCTGCTCAAGAGTCAGTTTTCAGGGTGGGGTGGCTGGGATGGGTTGTAGGGGGAGGCTCAAACCCATGTCTGTTTATTCTGAGGTGAGAAGAGAACATGGTGAATCGGATCTGCTAATACAGCATCTTTTGTGAACCTGAAAGATGTGTAAAAACAGTAGTTTTGATTGGGGGAAACCTCTCCTTTAATATCCTTTACTAAGCCCAGTTAAACACTAGCCAGGTGCCTCTCTCCTGGTCATCATTTGTGTGGTCTTGATGAAGTGGATGTGATTTCCTCCAAACCCTATAAATGTCACTCCTTAATCTGTTCGAGTTACTGCCTCCTTCTCCAAGCAGACCACTCAGACTCACTGAGCTGCTGCAGTTAATCCCCTCCCCTGACTTTCCTTCTGGAGAGGGTAGAATTAGCTTTTGAGCTAAATTAGCTTTTGAGACAGGGGCAAGACATTTCTAACCTGTGGTCTCGTGGCTGGGAAGTCAGATGCACTACTTCTGCCCCATTGCAAGCAGAAGGCGAGGATGGACACTTCATGCACCAGCAAGAGGTGAAGCCTGAATGAAGTCTCTAAAAGCTGATACTGATAGCATGGTCCTTGAGGTCAGCTGAACTGTCATGAAAATACACACAGCTTCTGCTTAGCTTCACTTAAGGATGAAGGCAGCCTATGAGAGGAGATTGGACATTCAGTTTCTCCCATGCATTGTCTTGGTCTGGGTTCTCCCTCTAAAAGTATGCCAGGAGAATTTTTTCCCCTCTTTTTCCTGTTGAAGTTCTCCCTGTTGAAAGCTTAGAGGCAATACGTTCATCTTAGAACAGATCTAGCAGATGCAATTTGAAGAACTTCCCCGTTTCCCCACATCCTGTAAACTTGGAGAATGATTATTTTTTATAACGATGCATTAGTTATTTAGGTGCTTTAAGAGGTGCTGCCTTCATAAAATATCATTTATCATAACTATTATTACCATAAAACATTTACCTAACTCCCTTGTCCTCTCATTTTCACACCCTGCCATCCCGTACCTTCTCTTTTCCAGCTTGTTTATTTTAAAGTGCAAAGCTGCTTAGAATTATTTATTTTTGGATCAGCTACTGATTCACTTAGTGACTAACTCATTTCATCACTCGATGCCTCACTTTACCTGTACATTAAGAAGGATTAATAGTACCTGCTTTTCAGGCTGTTAGCAGTCAAAATTAATTCATGCTTAAAATGTTTATAAAGAGATTTGAGATCCTTGGTTACTGGAGGCTAGGGAGCTGCAAAGTGTCTTATTTTTACTTAATGGCAGGGTTTTTTGTGTGTAACTTTGCATTATAAAAGTACAAGAAGCCTTGCAATTAGTTGGAGAGTCTATTGTTCCCAGTGCTTAGTTTAAATTCCAGTTCAGATACAAGTATTTTGTCTGCATATTTTCTCCCCTGATGTTTCAATCAGACTTAATGTCCTGATCTCCTTTACTGAGAAATGTTGGATGGTGGGAAATGTGGCAATGAGTATCACAGGGTAGATGATACTGCTGTGCAATCTTGTTTGGTGCCCTTAAAAATCCTGATGTGCTCTGCTTCAGAGGTGACTGCATCTTGTTGTTAATACAGCAAAATATGTACCCAGAAAGCCAAAAAGTTAGACTGTCACAACATCAGTTACCATATTATGCACTGAGTAGAAATATTTGTTGGCACTGTGGGAGGCTGCCATGAGTCTATGAGGAAGAAGGAAAGGACAGCAAACCAGAAGGCACAAGGGGAGTGTGCCTAAATGAAACCTGAAATCAGTTTGCAATTATTTCACGTTTATTGAGTAATCTAATAAATGATAGTGCCAGTGACCACGTTTGCTGCTGATAGCACATTGCCATGCGAATATTACTTACAGGAGGGGTGTATTTGGATTTGAATATGAGCATGTGAGCAGATCATACTGGCTAGGCTGGATGGGGCTTGGAACACCCTTGTCTAGTAGAAGTTGTCCCTACCCATGGCAGGGGATTGGAACTGGAAGAGCTTTAAGGTCCTTTCCCACCCAAACCATTCTGTGATTCCATGACTATCATTTGGTTTGCTTATGCTAAAAAATAGCTGTACTGAAATTAGTAAAGACTTCTTATTCTGTTGCCTCATCTCTTACAAATGACTGGTTCGTGTAATGCAAAAAATACAGTTTTGGGGAAAATAACACAGTGAGTGTGGACCACTGGCCCTGCCCTCAGCCCTGTCTGTGCGAAGGGTAGGAACTGCTCCCACAGTGGCTATTGCCACTTGAGGTTCTTCCTCTGATGTGAGAACTGGTGAGCTTTATTACTGCATGCATTCAACATCACAAAACATAGTAGGCAGAGTACAGCCCAGAACAAGGCCTCCCTTTGACAATAACTTTATTTTCTGGACTTAGCCTGTTAGCTGCTGCCCTTTTTTTTCCATCTTGGCAGACTGCAATAATTATCCAGATGACATATATAGGGAGGCCACGAATTATTAACAATTAACCCAGCTCTGGAGTCACTGCCAAGTATTTGTTGGTTCGTAAAGGAAGTCTAAGTGAGTAAACCATGCTGAGTGACAATAGCTCTGCTTCCCAGCCAGACTGAACAGCTCGTAATGTAACTCAAATGTTTCTTCTTGCTTATAAAAGGGCAGACAAGGAAAGGGCAAAAAGGACATTTAGAGGAACGCAAGACTGGAAAAACAACCATTGATGTAATGACTTTCTAAACTAAACATAAAGCATGTACTGTGGCAGCCATTAAAATAATGATTAAAAAGAAAAGCTTTGTCTTCTTAGTTCTGAGCACTGAAAGAAAAAGTTTGAGCAATTCTATGCTGGATGCTTGGAAATATTTTCCTTGCACAGTCGTCTGTGCCCCTGGTAAAGAACAACACTAAAAGTAGAAAAATTGGATGAGATAGAGGGCATAGAACTGTGCATGAGAACCAGAGCACAAAACGGAGAGGAACAATGGAAATATCATAGACCTCTAGTGACCATCTATGTTGTCCTACAAGGCTCAGATTAGGAGGATGTTCATCGTTGTACAAAGACATGGTAAAAGGTCTGGGGTTTTGAAAGAGCTTAGAAGTTGAATCAATAGGATGGCGAAAGGAGGGTTAATTTACAACTCCATTTCACAGAAGGGTAACTAAAGTATGGACAGATCAAAGCCTCTTTGCTGCCTGCCCTTTTCCATATGTCTAATCTGGCCCGTTCACTGACACCATTTCTGACAGCAGAGTTAAGTAGGTGCATTGGTGTTTTCAGGACTGGGACCTATGTGACTTGCCCAAAATCACAGAGGAAGTGTGTAGGAATAATACCCAGATCTCTTGGGTCCCGCATCACTCTCTCAACCACAAAACCATCCTTCCTGTCTCTGCATAAAGACAGAGCTGAGAGAAGTGATTTTATATACACATGCACATATGAAGAGTGCCTTATAAGGCATATAGGCACACTAAGGTGAAAGTTTCATTAGAAATCACATAAATTCAGAGTGATATTTTTTGTTTTATAAAGCAGCCGTGTTTCTCTTTTCTCCTTCAGCTTCCCTGATTTCAAGCATCACAACAGCAGTTCCTTACATGAGGTTTCTGAATGCATTTTATGGAATGAAAGAAAAATCACATGAATCTGAGCTGGAGCAAAGCCATAGAGCTTGATTTCATAACACAAATCATTACAACTTTGGTGCATCTGGTATGAGTCTATGAATTTCTTTGTATATGATGTGAACCTTTTTCTCTGGGAGGGTCTAAAGTGGAAACAATGAGAAATTTGTCCTCCTTCTGCCCTGAATGCTCAGGTTCAACACAAATAATGACAAAGTTACCCAGTAGATTTGGCTAGAGTTAGTAGAGAAATTCTGCCTTAAACTAGCACACAGCTGGGCTGTGTTTTCAAATGTTTTTACTAGAGATTGGTAGGCGACAAGTTCAAAACATGCAAAAGGAATTTATGCCATGTCATTAAGCAGCAGAATTCCTTGCTGCTGTGAATTGCCTGGATACTAAGAAATTTACACGGAGTAGATAAGAAACTGCACAAATCTGTGAAAGAAAAGACCGTTTAGGGCTGCGGGTTACAAAGACACATTGCTGGATCGAGGAATCTCTCAAAAGCAAGTTCCTTGGATGAAGGAAAGAAGACTACATGAGTGAATTCCAAGATATTAGAGGTGGTATTCCCAGAAATGCTCAGACTTGGGCTGTCTTTCCCCTGTTAGTAAATGCTCATACCAGTGAAAGTAAAGAGAAGCCAGTGGACAGGATGGGCTGTTCAGTCATCTAAGAGACAGGCAGTGCATTTAAATCTGGTTGGGTAGGCTTACTCTTTCTTCAGTGGGGAGATACAGGCACCTCTGGAGGCTGATTCATCCCATCCTAAGGCAGAAGTCCAAGATAAGTGGGGTCAATCACCCACTGTCTCACTTCATGACTTTAATAGAAGCCAATGTAAATAATTTATTTGGGTTGTCTAGGGCAGGGTTCAGTCAGAGACTGGAATTTTGGAAGTGTGCATGTGAGGTAGGTGCTTTATC